TCAAAATCAACATTTTGAAAACGAAATATATGGTCATTAGCAGAAACCCTCCAGAAAACCCGATAATATGCATAGGTGACAATCGTATAAATCGCGTGAAAACTTTTAAATACCTTGGCACCACAATCAATGACCAATCGGATCCACAACACGAGATAAAAACCCGAATACAAATGGCAAGACAAGCTTTTGTGAAATTCAGACCGCTCCTATGTAATCAACACCTAAACTTAGAAATACGCTACAGAATGGTCAAGTGCTACATATGGTCCATCTTGCTTTATGACATGGAAACGTGGACTTTGAAAAAAACATCTATCAACAAACTTGAAGCATTTGAAATGTGGTCATCGAGAAGAATGATGCGCATACCTTGGGTGGATAGAGTTCGAAACGATGACGTCCTTAATAGAGCCGGCGTGGAAAGAGAACTCTTTGAATTAATTAAAAAATGAAAGATTGGTTACCTTGGGCACATATTGAGAGGAGCAAAATATGAAATACCACAGTTAATGCTACAAGGGAAGATCGAAGGTAGGAGAGGAGCCGGCCTAAACAATTATCCTGGTTAAGGAATATTAAAGAATGGACAGACATACCTGTCCATTCCATTACCAAAGTAATAAAAAATGCAAAGCGGAAGAACAAACATAATATGGAACTACTAAAAGATGTACAGATTAAAGATAAAACCACTGTAAAACTAAATGAAAAACTCTCAGAAATAGACCGAACCCAAATAAATATCCAAAATATAAATACAACTTGGCAACAAATAAAATCCATCCTCGTCAATTCTGCAAGGGAAGAAATTACAAATACACGATTAATGGCAAAAAAAGACTGGATGACACCAGCTATTCTAAAGATGATAGACGAAAGGAGGAAATACAAAAATAAGAACACAATCGATTACAAACGATTAAATACAGAAATACGAAGGAAAATAAAAGAATCAAAAGAGAAATGGCTCGAAGAAAAATGTAAAGAAATAGAAGAATTAGAACATAGACATGATTACTTTAATATGTACAAGAAGGTGAAAGAATTTTCATTCATCCACAAAAAACAACATTGCCCACTGGTAAATAACAACGGAGAGTTAATTCATAACACCAAAGATAAAATAGAAGAATGGAAAAAATTTATACAACAGCTGTTCCGAGATGAAAGAATAGACATTACAATAAATAATGTTACTGAAAGCCCACCAATTCTAAAAGTCAAAGTGGAATATGCAAATAAACAATTAAAGACCAACAAAAGCCCTGGACCTGATGAAGTTTATCCTGAAATACTTAAATTGATCGAAAGTAATAACATTGATTTGTTAGTAATTTTGTTTAATACAATCTACGATACTGGGGAAATACCAGAGGAGTGGTTGGAATCTATTTTTATTCCCATTCCAAAACAAGCTAACTCCAGGCGATGCGCAGATTTTAGATTAATAAGTCTTATGAGCCAAGTGCTTAAAATTCTATTAAAAATACTTCAAAATAGGGTATACAAAAGGTGTGAAAAAGAAGTTGGATCCGATCAATTTGGATTCAGAGCCGGAATGGGGACCAGAGAGGCCTTGTTTTCACTACAAGTACTGCTGCAGAAGTGTTACGACCAACAAAAGGATGTCTTTCTATGTTTTGTAGACTTTGAAAAGGCATTTGATCGCGTAAACCATAATAAAATGTTAAATTCCTTGCAGAGCATCAACTTGGATAGTAAAGATCTCCGATTAATTAAGAACTTATATTGGAGACAGAGTGCCAAGATTAGGATCGACGATCATACATCTAGAAATATTAGGATAAATAAAGGAGTAAGGCAAGGATGCATACTATCCCCTATGCTGTTCAATCTTTACTCGGAACTACTATTCAAGCAAGCCTTGGAAAACCTTTCCACAGGAATAAAAATTAATGGAGAACCAATATCTAGCATAAGATATGCAGATGACACTGTCCTACTGGCTGATACAGACACAAACTTACAGGGGTTATAGACCACCTTAAGGATGCTTGTCGAGAGTTTGGAATGAAGATCAACGAAAAAAAAAACAAAAGTAATGGTGATCCAAAGAAAACAGAATATCCCCTTACCTATAAAAATAAATGGGAATATTTTAGAACAGGTAAACCAATACAAATACCTTGGCTGTTGGATTAATTGCAAGCTGGACCCAGAACAAGAAATTAAAGCGAGAATTGCTCAAGCTAGGGATAGTTTCTTTAAGATGCGCGTTCTATTCTGCGATACACATATAAATATTAAATTGAGATTAAAACTTGTAAAATGTTTTATCTGGTCTGTTCTTCTCTACGGAGTCGAAACGTGGACTTTAAAAATAAAGAGCCTGAATAGAATCGAGGCATTTGAAATGTGGGTGTACCGTAGAATTTTAAAAATTCCTTGGACAGCACGAAAAACAAATGAAGAAGTACTAGCTAGACTCAATTTAGAAAAAGAACTATTGAGAACAGTCAAAAGAAGAAAAACCAGTTATTTAGGGCATTTGTTGCGCAACGAGAAATACTACATCCCTCAGTTGATAATAAAAGGCAAAATAGAAGGAAAGCAAGGAATTGGAAGAAAAAAATTGTCCTGGTTACGTAATATCAGAAACTGGACAGGACTTGGATTTGAGGAACTCTTAAGAGCAGCTGAAGATAGACAAACGTTTGCCACCATAACCGCTAACCTCCATTGATGGAGACGGCACTTGAAGAAGAAGAAGGACAGGAATACACAATACAGGTGAGCTGTGTCACGCCGCCAAGAACAGAATTCTAGTAATGAGATAGTCGCCTACGCACTTTGGTGTATGGCATGTTAAGAAGAAGAAGCCAATAGTATAATATTACCAGTGTTAACATACGTCTCTGCCGCTTGGGTACATACATGTAAGAGTAATAGGAAAAAAATCCAGGCAACCCAAAATCAAATCATAAGAGATTCACTTCTTCTTTTAGTGCTTATCTGTGAATGTTGGCAATCACGTTGGTCGATACTTGTATGGAAAATAAGGCATCTCGCAGTCCCAGTCCGCTTCTGAAACCAAATTGAACACTGCTAATGTTTTTTTCCAGTTTTCTATATATGCGAGAGTGAATAACAGAAAGAAGGATTTTGAGTGCATGACTCATTAAGCTTGTAATTCTGTAATCAGTGCATCTGGTGGCATTTGTCTTTTTGGGGAGAGGGATGAAGGTAGAATCTAGCCAATCTGTAGAAGATTATGCAGTTTCTTAGATTTTGTTCAGTAGACTCGTTAAGAGTTTAAGTTGGTTGTTTTCAAATAGTTTCAATATTTCAGCTTGTATGTTATTAGGTTCAGGTGCTTTATTGGTTTTTAGTCTTTTTATTGCATATTACTTCACTGAGCGTTATTTCTGGTCCTGAACATCCAGAAACACTGAATTCTGTCTCTTTCTCTTCCTTGAATAATTCTTCCATGTATTGCCTCCATCACTCAAGTGTTCTCTCATTTTCGTAGAGCAGATTGTTGTGTTCGTATTAAGTTATGACTTCGTGATCAGTTTGCTTCCGTTAAGTTTTTGATCTTTTTATGTAGGTAAAAATGTCATGCTTCTGTTCTAGGGATTCTATTTCTATGCATTGATCTTAGGACCTCATTTCCCTCACTATCCCAGAGCAAGTGGTCACCAGAAAGGGAAGAGTGTAAGCGACCTTAGCTTCATGACTTAGCGACATTAGCTTCATGCTCCATAGCATTCATTTTTCAATCTCAATATCATCATCTTATTCAAAATGGGTAAGCCAGGATAAAAAGATAAGCAACAAGCGGAAATTCCACCTGATGATAGTCAAGGTCTCAAAGATAAAGTGAATTCTACTTAGAACCTTATTTCCCTCCGTATCCCAGAGCAAGTGGTCACCAGAAAGAGAAGAGTTTGAGTGTGAGTCATGTTTTGACCTTGTTTAGGCTTTTTTCTCTTCGTGGAGAGATGCTCTATTTATTTTGTGGAGCCAAAGGTGTGCGGTAAACGTCAGGGTGATATGCATATGGTGATTTTTGGAGGAGCGCTAAAAAGCTGTGGTTCAGAAAGTAGCGTTAGTGTTAAGGAGCGCACACGAAGAATTGTTGGTAAGCCAGACAAGCCAAGGGGAGGTACTTCAAGGTGTTACCAGCCATACTAAGAACGGCTCTTAGTCAGCGTTTTTATCTTGCAGTTGTTAGCTGCGATATTTGAGGAGGATTGATTCTAAAACGTCGAAATACTCATCAGAAAGTTTGTTTTCAGTGTTATGTAGAAGTTTTGCTGGAGGGAATGACACTTTTCTTTCTTTTGTGAATCCTGCGGTGTATTTGCCTTCGACGATGAGAAGGATATTAACAGTTTGCTTGCCTCGGTTGTTTGAGCCGTCTATAGTGCGGAGGACATATCTCTTGCTGAAGGTTCCGATTCTGTCCTTAATTGGTGTTATGTTTGCTACTTGGTGGATGAGTGCTAACGGGTATTCTCTGCGCTTCCTTATGCAGAATCTGAGTATTTTTCTTTCTGTGGCTATAATGTGGTGTTCATTTAGCGGGTGTTAAGCGACGCATAAATGCATGTCTTTGTATTCGATTAGCGGTCTTATATAGGTTAAATAGGTGTGCAATAGTATTCTAGTTGACGTATTGCCCATTCTACCAAAAAGCGCTGCCAGGAGTCTACACCTCTTTCTTACCCTGTCTAGGGTGTTTTGTATGTCGATTTTCCAGTTAAAAGTACTATTAAGAAGAACTCCCACATATAACAACGAGTTTCTGAACTCAAGGTCTTCTCCTAGGGGAGAGGAATATTTCATTAAAATAAAAACCTACTGGCTTGGTCATGAGAAAGAAAAAATATTCATGGTCCCCAGTAGGCTAAAACTGCAGCAAAAAAATTTGTTTTGAAACATTACTAAATATTTACAAAAGATCGACGGACAATATATGTATGAATACTCATAACTCATATATAATATGCATGAATACTATATTTTATTTTCAGGTTCATCCTGTTCTCGATTCCCGCCAAACTATCATCTGCTACGACAAACCGCCTCCGATTACAGTTTCCGATCGACCTCCTTCGCCGCCTCCAGCTAACGCGTGCTACCCTCTCGCGCCCAACATTTGCGTGGAGGCGGGCCGCATTCAGTTTATCCGTCAGGAGGCAGAGGGCGCCCCGGTGCCGCCGCCTCCGGATCCCGCGACATCAGCTTCGGCAACGGCGCCACCGTCTGCTGGTGCAGCGAGGATTACTGTCACGAGAGGATTGCAAACGGAACTGCAGGAGAACGACGAAGTCGAGAGTTTTAGAGAAGTGCAGGTAGGTGGCGATATAGGTTTCTTTATAGAAATATTATTCAAGGAACTGTTTTATCCTTTAAAATTTCATATTCTGAATTGAAAAATATTAAGAATTGATCTGCTTTTGTACTTTCACGCGAATATATTACTTCAAGAAGTTGAATTCTCTTGGAGACACAGTTATACAGGAGTATTTTATTCAAAGCTAAACCAAGTAAGATTCACACCTCCACGAGTTATAATAGAACATAATAGTTTGTTGTTTAAAAGTATTTAAGGCAAACAGTTTTTAACTAATAATAATTTAATCATATTACTTATAGCTCGAGGAAGTAAGATTTCTCTCGGGATTGTGATAAATTAAGGTAACTGTTTTTTTTTTTTAATTATTCTAGGCCTCTATACAGTGTGCGCCAAACTTCTGACTTTCTTTGATTATGGCTAAACTATGAAATATATAAAAAATGTTTTAAATAAAACTGACGTTTAAACAAAGACGTCTATAATTTAACATTATTTCGATTATACAGTGTCAGTGAGAACCACAGAATAAACCAAAGTTGTGTTTTTTTTTAATGGAATGCCCTGTATACTAAATCATTTTTGAATATATTTTTGTAAATTATAAAGAGTTTTTATTATGCTTTATAGGCCTAAAGTTTTTTTTGTGTGTGTTTTGGCTTGGACAATTGTCATTCAGCCAGTCTCAATCAAGATAAGTTTATTAATGTAGTGTGTGTGTGTTTGTGTGTGTAGAGTAATTGTCTTGATACTTAGCAAAGTCGACGTCATTGTCTTTGCTAAGAGACGCTAATTGTATCCGAACGTCTGCGGTCCCTCCGGTGTGTACCGATCACACAAGGATAGAAATTATTTTCATTTATTAATTTTTTTAATAAACGAAAATTTCCACCCAGGTGGGATTCGAACTCACGACCTTTAGATTTAAAGGCAGGCTCTCTTACCACTGAGCCACAGAGGGGGTTAGGCCTAAAGGTATTATCTTTAAAATATTTACATTTTATTGACTAAAACGGGGATTAGGTTTCCAAGGTAATGAAAATTTAAGTGATATGTCAAAGAGTTTCTAGTATAGTTATTAGTAAATAATTCAATATCTTTCACGTCGAGCCATGCCATACACAATGTGATTACTAATTTTTATATACAAGTTTCTCATTTTTTTTAAATAGAACATCCTGTATATTAGTATTGTATTTTCTACAAAATATTACAACCTTTCTTTACGTATTATTACCTTATACTGAAGTATAACAAACAAAAAATTTTAAAAATATAATCTAATTTTATAAACATAAATCAAAATATAAAAAATTAAGTCAGCCAGATAGCCAAGCAGGCTGGGCGGCCGGCTTCTCACTCGCTTCAGTGCTAGTAATTCAAAGGAAGTGAGTTTTATCCCCAGCTCGGTGTACAGAAAACAAAAAGGCTAACGCAGCAGTTTAAAATTCTAAAATGAATCTGCGGCTGGTGTCTGATCGGCCTATGGTGGAGCAGTACGGCAAGAGATAAGGGCTTGCGGCTCGGTGATACTCCTCCATAGATCCTTATTGGAAGGGCGTGTGCCGCCTAAATACCGAGTATATAAAAAATTAAAGAAAAAAGTATGGTATTAAAAATTATTTGCATTTTATAACTCAATATGTTAGAATATAATATTTATCTAATCAATAAGCTATATTCATAAATGCATTATTAACTATATTAAGAATTATTGAAAAAGTTGTCCAATGTGCTTAACACACAGTCGTATACGGTTGATAAAAGAGTACCGAACGCCCTATAGCATTTAAGGTCCAAGATTGTCAAAAACATTGTGTATAAGAATTTTTATATTATCCTGTATAATAGGCTCGTCATCACATATTATATTCTTAATGTAAAAATATTCTGTATCGCTGTATCCGATCCATTTGTCGCTGTAGTTATTATTTAGCAAAGCATCCAACATTTATTGTACGATACGTTGATGCTTCATTATGTAGAAACCACATGTTTTGTATAATTCCCAAATGAACTGAAAAGAAAATGTTTAATCACTAACTACTCAATGTAAGATCCCCAAGCAATATCTTTGTATTCCATAGAAAAATAAAGAAGTTTGTATTATCTAAGTGTTACTATAATACTCTCGGAAAGTAAATGCAAGTATGAGGCGTATAGAAGCCTTTGAGATGTGGGTGTTTCGAAGGATGCTGAAGATCTCTTGGACAAAGCAAGTGACCAACAAGGTGCTAAGAAGAATGGGTACTAAGAAAGAACTCCTAAATATTGTAAAAAACACAAAAACGAGTTATCTAGGACATATTTACAGAGGAGAAAAATACAACTTCCTACGACTTATAATGGAAGGGAAAGTGGAAGGAAGAAGGCGTCCAGGAAGAAGAAAATGTTCCTGGTTGAAGAATGTAAGAGACTGGACAGGCATGGACACACATTCGATACTAAGAACAGCTCAAGATAGAGAGCAATCTGCTGCAGTTATAGCCAACTCATTTTAGAAACAATAAATTTCTCTATTTTTTCCGTAATTCTACGCATATCAAATGAACGGTTCATAGTAAACTATCAATGTATATCAGTTCTCATCCATCCTCCGTCCTCATCCATTCATGTTGGCATTTCAGTTCAAAGAGTCCAGCCACAGCCAGAATTCATTTAAAATAAACAGGAAGACAATACCCACAGAGAATTCATTCCATATATATCTGCCATCATCAGCATCAAGAAACCACATCAACCAAAAGGCTAAAGTAAGGCTAAAGGCAAAAGAGCTTTCAAGCACCACGAGTACCATAAAATTTTCAAAAACTGGCAACTTCTTTTGACAGTTCCAAACTATATCATATTTGCATCTGGTAGGAATCAGCAAAGGGAGAACTTCAACGTAACTTCCATTCTTAAAAGGAAAGAAAAACCCCAAAAAAGCCACCAATCCTTGGTGGAAGTGTCCGAACAGAAAAGAAAACCGCTTAGGGAAACCGGTAGCCCATTCATGTTGATTCTTATTAAAGTAAATATTAAATTAGCAAATATATTAAAAAAATACATGAACTAAAAAATTAATTAAAAGTTATTCAATTACTGAGTGAGTAAATAACTTAACACCAATTAAACAACGGAGCTTCTTTTGCCAGTTCCAAGGTGTATCCTTCTTGCATCTGGCAGAAATCAGCAGAGGAAGAACTCCAACGTAACTTCCATTTTTTAAAGGAAAGAAAATAATCCAAAAAACACTAATCCTTAGTGGAAGTGTCCAAATAGAAAGAAAACCTCTTAGCGAAACCAATAGCTCATTCTCTTTTTTCAACTTTAATAAAACCTATTACGGATTGCGAGTAGAAGACTTATTTCAATAACATTCATGAATATGTGCACACATCAGCAATGTTTTCATCATCATAACTCACTAACATTATCCCAGGCTACAGCAACTAAACTCAGAGCAGCACAAAGACGAATGGAACGCTCGCTACTTAGACTGATCCTCAAAGATAGAGTTAAAAACGAAGAATAAGAGAAAAGAGAGGCAGAAAAGATAGCATGACCGAAGTGAAACTAAGAGGACCATGTGGCCGAAATGAATGACGAGCGGTGGACTCAAAATATTACAGTGTGAAGATCACGAACTGACAGAAGAATCAGAGGTAGTTAACCTACCCGATGGACAGACGACGTCAAAATAATATCTGGGAATTGGTGCAGAAAGCTCAATACGAGCTGAACTCGAAGAAATTGGGGAAGGTCTATATTCTACTTGGCACGCAGAAGGTTAGATGATGATGATGAACCTTATTTTTGTTCACAACTGTTTGCAATGATAAGTGATTATATAAAAACTATGACTCACAAGCTTTTCAATTCGGGTAAAGTGATTACCAGACTAAACATTATTTTTTCTTAGTAAATCGTCATCTATACAAACAATTACGTTCGTAAAAGTTCCATTCATCGCTGTTGTTGGTTAATATGACTCAGAGATTAAAATATTAAATAACGTCTGCACATTCTAACCAAATCCCGTTTATACTAGACCGATTGTAACTCTGGGTTTATCCTCTCTTTGAAGATTACCAGTTTAGTCTCAATTCCCATAGGAGGTCCGGGAGTGGGCTTGTGCTGGTTTTTAAAGCGTATTCGGAAAACAACTCTTACAAGTTGGTAATCGCTTCCACAACCTGCACCTGGACAAGTTTTTCCGTTTGTTAATTAGGCCTTGCATCTTGAATTGATATTTTATTGAACTATACTTGTAAAGCAGTATTGATAATAAATTTGTATTTTCATCCGTTTACTTCTATTGCACTGAACTCAATTCTGGCGATTGACTTTTGGTTCACCCGGTATTGCATACATTACTTATGTATTTTTCCTTAAAATCAAAAGAAAATAATAAAAATAGCAGTAACCTTACCTTTATTTGACAAAGTGCTTTTAGAATCCATCTTCTTTATGCAATGCAAAAAGACAATAAATTTTAATCACGTTAAACTTTAGTTCTTCATATATGTACATTGTAAACCGTCCATTAGATCGTAATCTCCCGAGCAATTTTATGCACTTTAGTGGCACTAAAGCGAAATATTTAGATTACCTTTCAGATACTGTCTTTATCTTCTTTTTGCTTTAAAATGACCAATTAGTCGAGCTCGTAAAAGCAAATGGCGCACATCCATCCATTGTGCAAACGCTAGTGGTGCAAACGGCAATTCCTGGCTAATTCGGGGGTGACAAAGTCCCTGGAAAATTGGCTTCAATCCAATCTAAAATGCAAATATGTTCATGAAGTCTCTGAATTCAATTATATGCTTTTTGTAGTAACTTCCCTAATTAGCGTCTTTAATATTAAATTACTTTTAAATACATATTGGAAAGGGCTCGTTTATTTAACAGCCCCAATAACGATTGGGGGTAAAACTTTGATACGAGCTTTGATAAGTTTATATAAGGTATACACACAGGTTTGGAAAAATTGTTTAGACAACAAAATAAAAACTA